CCAGTGCTGTCAGCATGCAGCAAGTCTAGTATGCAAATTTGCACTGCTGGTGCACCCCCCTCCCCACCATAAGAGCCCGGTTACAATTATCCTACAATGCATTGTCTTCTGTGAATAGAGTAGTTGACAATCTCCACCACTGATTCACAGAACGCCATGCATTATGGGATAAGATGACTCAATGCTGCACTGGGCAGAGTTTTACTTTTTGTCCTGTTGCCTTTGCTCCCTTGTGCAATGGACTACATACTGTACTGTTTTTTGTTTTATGTATAGGCTTGGTTGGGTTTTTTTCCTCAAGTGAGTCATGGAACAAGCATTACTCACCCTAATTACAAGTGTAGATAACTGCTCCGCTCAAGTTAGAAAGAACTTTGTAGCCGTGGTTGACCGTATGAATACAAGGTGTTCATATAATGGATTAGTACCTGTTGATGTGGGGGGGAGATTCTGTGCTCTTATACAGGGTTCTCTGCTGCCCCCCCCCCCCAACCTGTGTGTCTCTTCAGGAGAGCCCCCCCTCCTAGTACTGTGAGTACCACCGGCCTTTGTGTTGGACCAACAGACTCAACCCCTGTCAGGAGCCTTGTGCCCCGGGGGGCTGGGAAATTGTGGTCCCTTCATTGAAGGACCAAGCACCCTTGTGCTTTTGTGTGCTGTGATTTCACGGTTCACTTTTTTTTGTTCACATTGGTTTATTTGCAATGCACGTTCCACGGGCTTCAAAAGAAAAAAAAAAATTGGTACCTGTTAATTGAGCAGATAATTTTGCTCCTCGTGGGGTGTATATCCTCCTGCTGGCTACAGGTTTTAAAGTATTTCCTGATGTACTTGCTCAATCACCCACTAGGTCAGGGGTGGGCAAACTCTGCTCCTGCAGCTGTTGAACTACAAATCCCATGAGGCATTGCAAGATTCTCACAGCCACAAACATGACTCCCAGAGATGCATGATGGGTTTTGTGGCTTCACCACAGCTGGATGGTCAGTTTGGCCACCTGTGTCCTGGGGGGGTGTACTACCTGGTCAGTTCACAGCTTGGGAGAGTTGTCGCTTTCCAGTGGAGGTGCACATTAAAACTGAATAGCATTTTTTTGTGGTCTGCCTATGTTGAGATCTCCTCGCATGCAGTGTGGTCACCAGGACAGGAGTGGGAATCTTCCTTACACTTCCATTCTGGTTACCAGAACAGGGAATTTAGTGGAGGAGTCTACCGAACACATGACCAAAAAAAAGAACCAAGATTTTGGCTGTACTCTAATCTAGCAAAAAAAGTTGACTGGCATGGGGCTTCTCACTGGTGTGTAATGCATAGGATTCACCACAGTGGGTGGGCCTTAATGGTGGCTGTATACATATATGCTGAACAAGGATCCTCAAATTGTTTTTTTTATATAATGTGGTGGGCTTCTTAACATTAGGGTGTTCTGCCATCCTTTTGGAGAGCACTTTGTACAGTAGGGGGGCTGCATATAATGTGGCATATACTAGTTCTCCACTAGGTGGTGCTGTCTAACCATTTTGTATTGATGGTGCACTTAATGCCCTAACTGTTGGTGCTGTTTTGCAGGACTCTTTGTAATGGATGAGGACTCTAACAGCCAAGACTGTGAACCTTTCTTTGAATCTGACCAGGAAGAGGGCACAGATGGTAAGACTACAGATGCTTGACTTGTTCATTTTTCCTATATTGTAATCGGCAATGTTATGCTGTGTATTGGTTATTGGGATGGGGGTGGTTAAACTTATACGGTGTAAGTAATGAAGAATGTTGAATGCTCATCAGTCTGTCCTTAATTGCTTTAGGTCGGGCACCTAGAATCCCTGTTACTCCCCAGGTATTTGCACATACAGATCCTTTTGCCCCTCTTAAAATCCTTCCAACCTTCTCTAGATCAGCACCAAGGCCTCATTAATATCAGCTGGGTTTGTTGCCATATGTTTAACACTTTATTTAAACAGCCAACTTAAATGCACTTGCCAAAACTGACCTAAAATCACACCTGCCTTTTTTTTTTTTTTCACAATCCACACTACAATATGCTGCAACTGAGGTACGTTGGGGTAAGTATATTGAGCCTATACTGCAATGCAGTGGTATGGATGCACCATTCATTGCTCTGGTGCTTTCATTGTGCTGTTCTGCTTCCCTGACTCTTGCTTATGCCAGCAAGGTTCTAATCCTCCAAATGTACCTTTTCTAAAAAAGTGTAAAAGTTGGACTTTCATAATTTCATGCCACAACCTTCACCACTGCTAAATCTTTCCTGTCTTTTTTTAGTTTGGGAGTTTAGGAATTGTTCTTGCTCCCTCTAGTGCAGTGGTTCTCAACCTGTGTAACCTCCAGGATCCACATTGGACCTTGGTCATCAAGTCGTGCCCCAGATCGCACTGCAATGGAATGCACAGCATTGCGGTACCTTGCATTCAGGTGTGGGCAATCGAACTCTGGATGGGAGGTGTGTTTTGGGATGCCATTCAAATGAATAGTAACACAACACCTCCCACACCAGAACATGTGGTCGGTCCACCCAGTCTTTCTAAGTTACAAGAACTGAGTGGATCCTCAGCCTGTGGTTCAGTTTGGGCTGCTGTGACGGAGCTCCATTCATATGTGCATTGCTTGTACAGCTCCCTTGTGCGCCCTGTAGAGGTGTCGGGAGCCAGAACGTGACATCACTCCAGTCCAGGCACCTACAGGACATGTGAGGGAAGTGTAAGCAATGCATGTATGGATGGAGTTCCCTCGTGGCCATACCCCCATCCCACCTGAAGCTGACACTCTGGCATATTTTGAATGGCTGCTTGGCATGAGAACTGACAGTGCTGCACTAAGGGGAGGCTGAGGAGCCTCTTGCCTAGAAAAGTGGAAGGCATATGGTGACCCACTGAACACGGGGTCGTGGCCCACTTTTGGGTCACGGCCCACCAGTGAGAACCAAGGCTCTAGTGTATTGTGCTGTCCTCGCTGTACACGGCACTGCAGGGTCTTTCAGTACCAGATAAAATTACAGTACAATGCTAGTCTTTTAGCTATACTAGATCAGTGATTCTCGACCTCAGGACCCACATTTGTCCTTGGTCATTAAGTTGTGACCCAGGTCGCACTGCAATGGAATGCACGGTATTGCAGTACCAGGTGTTTGGGTGCAGGCGATTGGATTGAGTGGAAGGTGCGTTTGGGGTGTCATTCAAATAAATGGCTACGCAACACACCTTTCACACCAGAATGCATGGTAGGTGCGATTGCATGGTTCAGTGCATTAATTGCATGGGACTGTTCGATTAAGGCACTGTACTAGTGTGAATAGTCCCTCAAAAGCACAGACACACTCGCAAACATTCTCGCATACATATACACCAATAAAAATTATAGATAGATGGATAGATTTTTTTTTTTTTTTTAAAGATCCACCTAGTCTCCCTACCTTACGAGACCTGGAGTGAATCCTCAGCTTGGGGTCCTGTGTAGGCTGCTGTGCTGGAGCTCCATCCATACATGCATTATTTGTACAGCTCCCTTGCGTGCCCTGTAGAGGTGTCGGGAGCCAGAATGTGACGTCAGTCCAGTCCAAGCACCTCTACAGGGCACATGGGGGAGTGGTATGCAATGCATGTATGGGTGGAGATCCCTTATACTTCCAGCACACCCCACCTCAAGCTGACACGCTGGGCCGGGCAGCATATTTTCAACGGCTGCTCATCATAAGAACTGACAGTGCTGCGCTAGGGGGAGGCTGAGGAATATCTCGCCTAGAAAAGTGGAAGGCATTTGGCGACCCACTGAACATGGGGTCGCGACCCACTTTTGGGTCACGACCCACCAGTTGAGAACCAAGGTACTAGATGACATTCTTGCAATATAATAAACTTTCCCACTGGTTTCACTTTAGTGAAGTTTTAGAGCTGTTCTATTGATTTAGGGCTGCAACTAATCATCATTTTCATAATCGGATGGCTCCCCCCTATCCTTAACATAAAATACAAACCGTTTACTTCAGAATCAAAATGCAGGCTCTTTTCTTTTTTTTGTTTTTGCAATTGCACTGAACGCACAGCATTGTGGTACCATGTGTTCCAGTGCAGGCAATCACACTGGGTGTTTGGGGTGCCATTGAAATGAATGGCACTGCAACGCACCTTCCACAGCCGAATTTGTCAGGCCAAAACCATATGACTTTTCCCACTTTTTGTTTCTCTTATTTTAAGCACATGGCGCTTGAATAGCCTCAGCCAGGGAATGACAGCTGCCAGTGGCAAGATTCCACATACGGCAGCTAAATGTAAATACAGCATGTAGGGGGCTGGTGCAATAGCCAACTTGCTGATCGGCCATTTCAAATTGCAATAGCAGGCTGGCTATTGCACCCATCAACTGCTTGCTGCACCCTCCTCCCAGCATGGAGGAGAGAGCTAGGGGATCAAACTAATCGATAATGAGCATAGTTGACAGCTCTAATCGATTAGTCGGATGCAGCCCTACTATTGTCTTGCTACTGGGGCACCCCCCACCACACCCTTTCTTGTATTGGTCTGAGACATGAGTGGAAATCTCTCCAGAAGGACAGCAATAGAAGACAAAGGTCCTAACCCTTCCTGTTCTATGAAAAATTAAGATATTGCACCATGCTGTTTTAGTGTAGTTTGCTATTAGGCCCAGTTCATTAAAGTGACCTTAAACCCTCAGATTTTTTTAACATAAACCAATACTGTAATGTGTGCCTTACTGTAATCCATGGTAGTTTCTCTTCTCTTTGCTGCTCTTTTTAAATCCTCATGTCTTCTCATGCTGGGGGAGAACTACCCTTTTCAGCTCAGGGCCTCTTCCTGTAGTGCTGGCTCAGGTTTCAAGCCTATACAAACATATACACAGACACCATATATCCATTCCTGAGACAAGGCAGTCTGCTGCAAAACGGAAGTTGTGCCCAGCATGAGAAGAGATACAGATTTAAAAGGAAGAGCAGCAAAGAAGGGAAACAACCATGGATTACAGTAAGGTGCACATTACACTAATTTATGTTAAAAAAAATCTGAGGGTTTAATGTCACTAAGCCATAACACATTTTACTTGCTGCTCTTTGGGTGTGTAGAACTGCAGGTACCCTTTGGCTCCTGGGGGATTGGGGATGGTATTGGAACTATTTCACCAGCCCAAGGTGTTAATTCTGATATGTTCCAGCAGCACACAGGCATCCTGACAGTTAAGGATAATGGTGCTTTAACAGGTTAATTGCATGTTTTAACATGTTAGTCCTGTGAGTTGTTCATGGCAATCAGTTTGGGTTATACTGAAACATTTGCTGTGGCTTACTAGGTCTACCGGCTTATACTGCTCTAAGTACATAACTAAAGGTCACCACAAACATTACTATAGAATTGTACAATCTCCTTTAGATTTGCCAATGGTAGTGCAAGGTTCTACCTGATTGGATTCAAAATGATTGGTTAGATTAGGTAGGTCCTCATAACTTTTGGTAAATCCAAAGTTGATTGTGGGGTCAGATTGTAATGTGTATGGTGACCCTTGTTTAACCAATCTGCTGATCTTTCTACAGATGGAAGTTTAACTGAAGATGCCCCTGGACACCCTCCTCCCCAATACAATCTCCAGCAGTATGCAAAGTCTCTCCCAGTCACTGTGCCTGTGTGGGGCTTCAAAGCAAAAAGGCAGACCAACAAATCATCTGATGATGAAGGTGGAAAGGTTAGTATAAGTGGAGAGGAGAACCTACCATTGCCATTTCATGGATGTATTCCATTTAGCTCCAGAGTAAAATATGCAAGTTTAGAATTGCTAACCTATACTGGGTGCCAGTTTGTCACTGGTGACTTTTTAAATCTTATTAAAAATCGTGGTCTTGTAAGTACTACTGCCCCATGATGTCCCACACATTGGTAAGCTACCTTCATGTCTGTGCCATTAAATGCCACTTTTGAACAGTACCCATAGTCATGCATGGCAGATTGACCTTGGATGACTTTCTTGTATGCTAAAAGTTTACATTGATTGCTGTAGTTTGGCAATACTTTAATGGATAGTTTACTTTTTTTGTACCCTTTTTCAATTGGTGCTATCAATGGCCTTTCCATTAATATGTATGTTACTGCAGGACGTGCCAAATGTACTTTGAGCAGCCTAGACTCTTGTACTTGCAGCCTGGATTTAAGAAAGATCCATGGGGATAATTACATCTGCTCTCAGTGACATGTTGCTATCCCCAGCTGGTGTTTGAGCCAAGTTGTATGAAGTAAAGGCATTTAACCTTAGAGGCAATTAAGTGAAAAGTACCTTTTGGTGTGATTTAAGGTGATGGTATGTGTATTTTTTTTTTTTCCCTCCACCCAAATATGCAAAGACATACCAGTTCTTGTTGCATAGAGGCTCTGGCTTTCACACAGATGCCAGCTAGTTAACTCTCCATTACCGACATCAGCACTGCATAGCCAGTGCAGTGCCATCCTTGTATGGGTCAGGAACAGTCTGGCCAATTCTGAGCCAAGCCACCCCTGGTCCATAGAAATAATGTAATGGGCACTTGCCTCTTTATCAGAGCAGATAGTGGGGCAAGTTGGTATTGCACACGTTGTGCAGACTATCAGTCTCAGAACAGTTTCTGGAGGACTGGAATCGGTACAGAAAATATTTTTTGTCCTAGCCTTATGTAATTGCTAGATGTATGTGTTGGCAGCATTCTGCATGCCTCTTTTGTTTGCCATCTGTATCACAGTTCTGAGGTCAAGTTGTATTAAAAGAGTGGCAGGCTGCTGCTGTAATGCCCATCATTAGAACTGTCATGCATTGGAACCTTGGCTTTATCAAGCCACTCTCCACCAGAGCCCCTCCAGAGGTTGCTAAACTGTGACTGGATGACCATTTGATGGTGCTGTCATAATTCAGTGCCAGTTTGGCAAAGCCAGAAGCATGTCATTGGTCTTGGCTGTCTGTCATTCTGACCACCCCCATAGTAAAGGTTCCTTTACCACTGACCCCCAGTCAATTGCTTTAAGTGGGGGCTCCTTGAATTTTGGGCCTTCCTCTGGTAAGGAGATTGAGAGGCTGCTTTATCCTATTAAAATGCAGTAGAACATTATTTTGCGGGGTGAGGATCATCCTTAATGTTTCCTCCTGTGTGCCATAGTCTGCTGAACAGTAATGGGTGTGGAAGTGGTTTATGTAATGGTTTAAATCCCTTTTACCTCCAGTTAGTAGTACATATGCAGTACTTCCCTACAATAACTAGACCACTAACTGAACCCTCTTTTCAGTTTCCATCTCCAGATCTAGACCGGATTGCTGCCAGCATGAGGGCTCTGGCCCATGACAACACACAGCCATTTGGGGACCTTCCTCGCCCTCGACTGAATACCGGTGACTTCCAGACTAAATATCGGAAATATTAGGGAACATCAAGTCACCTGCTCACTGGTCTGAACACTAAAGACTTTTCTTACAAGAATCAGCGGAAGAAGCTTCATATTTGGAAACTCCCACCCATTAGGAGTCTGACTGGTTCACTTCCTAATGTGGTAAATGTTAAGTTTTAAACAATTTCTTTTGTTTGTTTTTTTTGCCCAAGCCTGACAGATGGGTACTCAAATGATTGTCAGATTTTACCCCTAACTTTTTTAAATTCCGCCTCAATAAAAGAGGAATACACCTTGTTTCATTGTTGCATTATTGCTTGTGTAAAAGTTAAAGCCTCTTCCTCACTCCATGGAGAATTAAACCTACTCATTGGGTTCTCCAGGAAACCCTTTCACTAAATGGGTGTCTGTCCAGTCATCAGCACTAGCTGCTGGCTTCTACTGGCCATACTGCAGTGATGGGACAGATCTGCATTCTCCCTATAGAATTGTCCTGGCACAGCCAAGTTCAGTTAAAGATTTACAACTTGGGTTTTAAAAAACATGCTTTGTTAAAAGGATATATCTAAACATAAGATCAAACTGTAATAGTGCAGCTTACCAGTCTTTTGGCATGTTGGCTGCATTAGTTTCAACTTTTCAGGCTAAATTTTCAGGAAGTATTGCATATACATGTTGCTCTTGCCAGAACTGACTTATTACATGTCCTACTTCCCAAGCCATCACCCTCAAAGGGTCAGCAATTGGGTTTAGATGTGCTTTAAACCTGTTTCCTCTGAAAATGCATATGACCCCATGCAAAAATGTTAATTAATACAGTGCAAGATGTTGGCCAGTAAAAGATGCTATATACTTGCCTTTTTGCCAGCCCATGTGTTATCCCTGACCTGCTGCAGGTACCTGCACATGCTGTAGTTCACCAATTGCCTTATGTCCTCTAGTGAGGTACCCCATATGTGTAACTGCAGCAAATATATAATTGTGGTTTCGTCACAGCTGCAGTACCAGGGTTTCTCACATCTGCTCTAAATGAACCTGAAATAAGAGGAATGGATGCCTCTGTAAATTCTATTTGCCTGGCTGTTGTACTGAGCCCCTGACGGAACAATTCTGTAGATAGTTAGTTAGAAATCCTTATCTGCTTTTGGTGCCTTGGAACCAAGGGTGACTCTGACACTGGCATTTCAGAAATAGCAATGTCAGTCCCTTTATTACATGATTTTCTTAAAGTGCATACACGAACTTCACCTTTTGTAAATCTCCCTACAGCCTATACATAATGTTTTACCACCATGAGAACATCTCTGGTTTGCAGAAGCATGGCTCAACATCCTGCATTACTCCTGGTCACCACTAGGGATGCTACTGGGAGATTGTTGAACTGCTCTGCGTTGTTCTCCAGCCGCATTCAAAGAGCAGCTTGTTCACAGCAGAGCCGGATGTACAAGCTAATTCAGACTTAATGCGATGTTTGTGGAACAAGGACTTTACTCAGGCAAGGTAAACAATTTTATATAAGGGTAATTAACAGGCAGTACAGATGTATAATTCATAATGAGTGCAGTTGGGATGGATCAAAATGCACATGCTTTTTAAGATGGGTGTAAACTAATTTCCTAGTGTCTTTCAGGTGCTGTCCTTCCTATAAAATTGAACATTTATAGATCACTGAACAGATTCCAAACTCTGGCCCTACAACTATCATGAAACTAACTATCATGAAACTACAAATCCCATGAGGCATGGCAAGATTCTCACACGCATGACTCCCAGAGACAAATGCATCATGGGATTTTAAGTTTCACCACACCTGGAGGGACAGCATTTGCCCTCCCCTGAACTTGCACTCCCCTGCACTAAGTGGAGGGTTAACAGTTGGAGAGCCTTTCAAAAACTTTTACTGAGGAAGTATTGAGGCTGCTGTTTGTAGACCGTTCATTTTGAAGATGGTGGTGGTCCTGCTGATCCTGGTCAGTGACTGGCTTTACTGGAACAAGTGAAGTTATAGGGCATTGTAATTTTTGTGTTTCTGACCAGTACTGAAGACAGTGGCAGGCAACTAGCATTATTCAGAAGATTAGCAATGGCTGCCCACATACACAGGTTTTTGTTTTTTTTTAAAGGGAAACATACTAACTGGTTCTGTGCCATAAAAAAATCTGAGCTGAATCTGTCCACGTACAGATTTGCTACTTCCATATAGTTAATTGCAACTGCACATTACTGACTGCAGGGGCTGGCCTACAGCAACTTTCATTGCCACCTCTAAGGTCAAGATGCCCAAATTGGGGGAGAAGTGTCATCTCCTGGGCAGTGCTGGGGCTTGGCTTACTTTCACCCTGACCTTCACAGCAGAGTTTCCTTCAGTCCAGGCTCCCCTTCTCACAGCATCCTGCCTGCCATGGATTAGCATCATGCATTTCCATGTTGTTGGTTGGCCTGCCTGCACTATGGAATGCATGACACTATTTCAGTACCCCTGGTTGAGAAAAATGGGGTTAGACAATCAAACTGGATAATTAGCCTTTTAATGAGTAGTTTGGCAATGACCTCCCTATATGCCCATAACTTTATAACCACCCTCCTAATATTGAGAAGGTGCCATTTTTGCCACAAATAGCTCCGACCTGTTGAGGCATGGACACCACTGAAGGTATGCTGTGGTATTTGGTACCAAGCCATTTAAACTACAGTAGCTCTTCTAGTGGACTACTGTACGAGCTAGCCTTCACTCCCCACATGTATCAATGAGTCTTGGCCTCCCATGACCCTGCTGCCATTTCAGATTTTCCTTCCTTGGACCACTTTTGGTAAGTCCTGATCCCTGCAGACTGGGAACCTCCCACAAGAGCTGCAGTTTTGGAGTTGCTCTAACCATAACCATTTAGCCTGTGCCAAAGTGGCTCAAAACTTACACTTGCCCATTTATGTTTATCCTGCTTCAAACACATCGAGGACATTAAAATGACAAAAATCAATGTCAGTCTTATGGCTGACTGGTGTAGCTCTCTTGTCCTCTGAAAACTGACCTGTCAAATGTTTTTTTTAAGTTGAAGGCTTCTTTGTCTATACACAGATCTTATCTGTCTGCATGTTCGGTTTCCATGTTGCTTAAAGGGGACGCCAACAATGGTATTGTATGAGTGGATTGTTGTAGGGAATTTTGGACAAGTGATGGGTAAAGTCCTACATTACCTGTCTGATAAACATGTCAGATGCTATGCATACACAAAAAAAACAAGACATGGACTTCTACAAATAGTTTTGTCCTTGACAGCTTTTACAAGGGTAGTGTAAACCACCTTATATCAGTATGGCTGTCTTCACCCTGCAAACCATTTTCTTGACAGCTCTGGCTGTCTCATAGACCTCAGCGCTGCATTTGCACCCCCAGCCCCCCCTCTCCTGCCCAATTAAAGTAAAGAACCCTTCAGCCAGGAGAAGAGGGAGATAGGGTGGCCATACAGAGGTCTTTGAGACCTGAAGTGCTTGCAGCAGGATCGGGCATGGGAGTGCTGCAGCCTTTAGACCTAGTTCACAGAGGATTTTGTAGTGCTTTTTCCTCTTAAAAAAAAGCTCACAAAAATTTGCCCCCCAAAAAATCCCATTCATTTCTATGATCCAGTTCACATCTGAGCGTTTTGTTGCAATAAGCAACATGCCTGTCTGGAAAAGGTACATGAGCTTTTCTTGGCAGGTTACAGCCTGTTTTGGCACCATAGACTAGGAGATGCTGGAAAACACGTGTTTGTTTGCTAATTTAACAAGCTACAATCTGATCACAAAAATGCGTGACTTGATTTATGCCCATAGAATTGTGCTAAAATGCGGTCGCCAGGGCCGTCTTTAACGCAGGGCAAAGAGGGCACTTGCCCCGGGCCCAATCAAGGTTGTGGGGCACAGAGCATCTGCCCCTTGAGCCCGCTGCCCGCAGAAAATTGCCGATCGGATTGCATAGAATAATACGTTATGGCAGCGGCCACATACGGCAATGCCATAACGTATTGTCCTATGCGATCTGCACAATCGCATCCTGAAGTTAGCTCCTCCCCAGCCCGCATAGCGCGACATGTCACACGGCACGGGCTTCACTGGGGAATGTGAGGCTGTGCGCACGGGTGCCTCACTCAGGACATCTGGAAAGAGGCAGACTGGAGGACTGAGGCAGGTGAGAAAATAAAAAAAAGCTCACTCCATTTCTGTTATTCACTTATAATGAAGCCAAACGCAATGCCCGTAGAGTATAATGGGAAGAAAGATGGGCCTTGGAGTCGAGAACCATATGACACATTAAATAAATCTTTAGCAGGCATACTCTCCAAGCACATTAGCAATGTTCTAAATTGAGATTAGGTGGGATTATTATTTTCTATGGAATGACAAGTGTGAATGACACCAAGAATGCCCATAGACTATAATTTATTAGATTTATTTGAAGTGTCATATGGTTCTCGACTCCATGGCCCATCTTTCTTCCCATTATACTCTATGTGCATTCTTGGTGTCATTCACCCTTGTCATTCCATAGAAAACAGGGAAAATCCAAAGTTATTTCAATTGTAAAAGATGTTACTATACACGGGGAAGATCTGTGGTAAAGGATAACTGATATCTTTTTCAGATTTGCCTACGAAATATCTGATACTATGCTTCCCATTATACTCTATGGGCATTCCGTTTGGCTTCATTAGGCTATGGGCATTCTCTGCCCCCGTCAAAGTCTATGGGCATTCCATTCGGTCATTCCTTTTAGTAGGCCCCTAACATGATTGATAGAATTACAATGCATGATAGGAGAAAGCCATGATTAGACCTAATTACCATGGTTTGTTTTTTTTCTTGGTGGGGGTCCCAAGAAAATGTTTGCCCAGGGTCCGATCAATAATAAAGACGGGCCTGGCTGTCGCCCAGGTGTGAAGCCGGCCTAAATGAAGTCCCCTGTGCTGGCAGCATGCTGGATATCTGGACCATTGTTCTAACTGAGCACAGCGGCCAGACATGCACCAATCATAAGGAATATATCTACCACACTCACTTTATTCTTGATGCAGCCTGTTTGCAAGGTTTCAATTGGGCTTTATTGCTGCTTGCCTAGCTGGCATGTTGATCTCAAATACGTGACGCAAAACAAGCTTGGAGATCTTAATTTTTAACTAACTCTGGCTTACTACATATTGAAACCAGGAACAGCCAGGTAACTGGCATTTCAGTAGGAAGGGTACAGTGGCAGCCCACATTTTTCTCTCATTTACAGTGGAAGTTAAAAAAGAAAAAATAGGAATTTGCTGGGAGGTTT